TTTTTCCTTTTTAAATTACCAAATAATAAAAAGCAATAATAATAATAATAATAATAATAATAATAATAATAAATTTTATTTTTATAATGTTTAAGTCGTCTAATAATAATAATGGAAAACATGTTATGGATAATATATATAAGTATGTATTTATGTATATTTTGAATATAATAATAATAATAATGATAATAATAATATTTCCTGTTTAAATATCAGACACTCTTACTCTCGTGCCACTGCGTCACGGTTTCCATGCTTTTTTCCTTGCATGCATGCACGCATGCAAACGTTTTCTGTAAAATGGTGTTTTCAAACGATAATTTTGCACTTTTTATTATTATTAGTGTTACCATTATTATTATTATCATTATTATTATTATTATTATTATTATTATTATTATTATTACTAAACGAATAAAAAGAAATAGAAAGTATTTTACATTTACGGTTAACGAAAAAAAAAAAAAACTTTTTTCTAAAACCATCATTAAACGATGAGCAAAAAGGTTAAGGAAATCAAAAAAGTTAAAAAGAGAGAGAGAGAGAGAGAGAGAGAGAGAATGATCGATGTTAAATGTATAATTAAATAAAAAAAAAGAAAAGGCGGCATTAAAATAGCAAGGTTCTTACTTAAAAGAAAAAAAAATCACTTTTCTATTCATTAGATGTAATAACAATAATAATAATAATAATGATGATGATGATAATAATAAATTATCGGTTTTTCAAGTTTTCGGTACCTGATTTACCGAAAAAAAAAATTTCCCTCCGATTCGTTTCTAACAAAAAAAAAAAAAAAAACAATCGTAAAAATTTAAATATTAGTATAATCATTCTCAATCGTTTCTTCGAATGTCTTTTTTTTTTATAGACGTGTAATTAGAAAAAAATTTTTATTTTGTTGTTTTTCATCGATGACGAATAAAAAAATATACACGTGTTGGTAAAAAAAAAAAAAAATTATCTTTTCGTATTTATTTAATTTTTTTTTTTTTTGTTAATTTAAATTGTCGTTGTAGTCGTCGTCGTCGTTTGTATCGTGGTTGTCGTTGTCGTGGTTGTTGTTTTACTTCATCCGTATACGTAAAATACATAAAATTTTAATGTTTTCCCTTCGCGTGTATTTTAATTAAAATAAAACTCAATCTGATAAAATAATAAATTTGCATAAGAACAATAATAATGATTCGGACAGATGTTAAATTATTTATGTTGGCTCAACTGTTAAAGGAAGTCAACTCATTTGATTGTTTCGAATTTAAATTAAAACATTTTTTTTTTTTGTTAAATTTTTTTTTTATACAAACAATTTTTAAATATTTCTCTATCTCGTTCCACGATTATTTTTTCGGTTTGCCACTTTTCATCGTAAAAACCGGAAGTTAAAAATTTATTATTTTTATTATTTTACTCGTTCCCGTATAATTTCGGTTAGTTAATTTAAAAATAAAAATAAAAAGTAGGGGAAAATTTCTGAACGTACTTTTTCCGATTGTTTTTCATTCGATTTGGCAACAATGCAATTTTAAATAAATAAAACGTATTCGTAATCTGTATGTGTAGTAGGAATTTGCGCACTTTTTTTTTTTTTTTTTATTTAAATTTTTATGGATTCCTTTTTTTTTTTTTTTTGATTTTTCCTTTGAGTAAAAAGGACAAAAAAGGATAAAAAAGGAATTAATTTTTCTAAGACTTTAAAAAATATAAAAATTAAAAAAAAAAATGAAAAATGCAATCGGTTGTTTTGATTTCGTATTAATAAAAACAAAAACAACAACTTCAGCCTTGATAAAATTATTATTATTTCTATTGGTGGTGGTGGGGGGAGGCCACCTGCGTGTGTGCGTGTGTGTGTGCGTGTCTGATTTAATTAATACCACCTTATTAATCAGTTTAATAAAAAAATATTTCCGCCTTCTTAAAAAAAATTTATTTAAATGAAGATAATCATTGAACGTATCGAGGTGTGGTAGCCAAATCGTTTTTTTAAACTGATGGATTAATTTAAATTTTTTTCATTTTCTCGAAATTCTTTTGATTTAATCATCTGTTTACGACATATTAGAAAAAAAAAAACTTTTCTAATCCAAACCCTTTAATAATAATAATAATAATAGTAAACCGGGAATTAAATAAATTTGAAAATTTTCTAATCATTAATCCTTCTCTCTATTTTTTTTTTTAGGGTTTTCTTATTAACTTGTGACAGTCATTATTATTCTAAGTATTTCATAATAAACTATAAAGTGTTTAATAATAATAATAATAATAATGGTGATAACAATAATAAAAATGGAAGGAAGAAAAAGAAAGAAAGAAAGAAAATCAATCGTAATGATAGTATAGCGTTTACACATATATATAGCATTATTAATAGCATGACAATATTATTATTATTATTATTATTATTTAAAGCACTATAGGCTATAAATGTTTTTTTATAGGTGTTAAATTTTTCTAAGAACGATGAAGCAATCAAAAAAAAAATTTTTTTCTATATAAAAAAAAAAAAATCAATAATAAAAATTTACCTGAAAAAAAAAGAAGGAAAAACGAGTTTTTAATGCGAAAGAAATGTGGTAGCGTTTAAATCCTCGTTTTTTTTTTTTCTTTCCAAATTCGATTTATTTTATAACCTAAATAATCTGATAAATCATAGAGTATATAAACGTTTAAAAACAAAAACAAACAAACACGTTGAATCCGCGTCGATTTTTTTATTATTTTTGTCGATGGGCGAAATATATATATATGTATACATGAAAAAATAAATTGTTTTTAATTAAATCGAATTATAAAAAATTATTATTAGTATCATTATCATTATTATTATTATTATTATTATTATTATTATTATTATTATTATTATTATTATTATTATTATTATTAGAGTGACGATACCCGTATTTGTTTAAACAATTAAATATTTAAAAAAAAAAAAAAAACTAAACCGCCATATTACAATCAATTAGGGTTTAAACAACCCGAAAATAAAAAAAAATTTTTTTTTTAACTGGAATCCGACGGTCACGCAACAAACAAACAAACAAACAACTACAACAACTGAACGATTGTGAAATTGGATACTTAAATAAAATAAAAAAAAAAAAAAGAAACAGGGTCGTGTTAAGGTTTTTAAAAAAAACATTAAATAAAATTATAAAATAGGGCGACGATTTTTTTATAGTCTATAACGATATTATTGATTTATTAATAAACAAACAATAAATATTTTATTAAAGTCAACAACAACAACAACGACAATCACAACAACGACAAACGAGAGCGATCGTTGAAATTTAATAAAAAAAAGAAAAAGTTTAATTTAATTTATTATTATTATTAAATTACCATACGTTAAACCGATTATAGACGCACACAAAATAGAAAACCGTTCTTGTTAACCGCCGTTAAATTTTTATAGTCTATAATAAATAATAATAATAATAATTTTTATAGTCTATATTTTTTTTATAATAAATATTAATAATGAGAAGTGAGCCAAGTTTTTTTTTTTTTTTTTATTACGTTAAAATAAAAATTGCATAATTAGTGAAGCAAAATGTTTGTACACGGTCGTTAATTTTTTTTTTTAAGCCTTTCTCTTTACTTTTATTTTATAGTCTTTAAATTAAATTGATTACGTTACACGTTATTACACGATTCACTTGCTATAATTATTATAGCAGTTATCAGTCACGGTCGATACAATCAATTTTTTCTCCTTTTTTAATATTAATAATAATAATAATTATAGTAAAATATTTCTTTTTAGAGAGTTAATTCGTACAAAAAATTTAAAAAGAAAAGGTGCGGGTGTGCGGGGGTGCGTGCGAGAGTGCGAAAAAATATAGTTTATTGATTTTTATAGACTATTTTATAGTTTCAATAATTAAATATTAATCCTTCGAAGGTAAATTACACAAGAAAAAGCATCATCCTCGTCGTCGTCGTCGTAAATTTTTTTAATTAAGTTCCTCTCTCTCTTTCTCACTCTCTCTTCTCTTCTCTCTCTCTCTCTCTCTCTATCTCTCTCTCTTCCCTTTTTCTCTCTCTCTCTCTCTCTCTCTCTCTAAACGTTTCTCAACTTTAGAAAATATAGTAAAAAAAAAACAGCCAACCCGTAATGACCTATAACAGTATAATTTTTTTGTAGTTCGATTATTTTAATTAATTAATTAGTTTCGCTGACGTTAATGAAAATGATGATGATAATAATAATAAATTTTAAGTTACACGCAAAGTAAAAACTAGATTATGAGAAGAGGAGAGGAGGGAGGAGGGGAAAGGAGCAAACGATAATAATGTTAATGATTTTAAAAAGTTTTCCAGTAGTAAGGAAAAAGAAAAAAACGTCTTGAAGTCGGGGAAGGAAAAATTGATGGAGGTGGTAAAAATTAATGAATGAGGTTGTTGTTGTCTGTTTGTTTGTTTGTTTGTTTGTTTCTTTTCCTTTTAAGGTAGTAAGTAAGAATGCTTATCAATTTTTTCTTGAAAATAAGAAGAAGAAAAAAAAAGAATTTCTGAAGGGTTAAAATATTCGGTTGTTGTTGTTGTTGAAATTAAGTCACGTGCAGGTTTGTGGTGTTTGTTGCCGGAGGTTTACATAAGAAATTATTATTACATCAAAGGTTGTTATTTAGTAAATTATTTTCCTTTTCTTATTCATCTTCCTTTTTTTTTTTTTCTTTGAAGTCTTTAAATTGTTTGTATTGATGATGATGATGATTGTTATTTTTTAATCTTGTCCTTTTTTTTTTTTTTAAATTGTTTGTTCGGTTGTTGTTTTCGACGTGGGTTTTTTTTTTTCTCGTTAAATAAATTGAAAACCTTTTTTTTTTTTAAATAATTTGTTGTTTATGGGCTACCGTTTATTATCACACATTTATTGAATTTATAACTTGTTTGTTTGTTGACTTTGTGTTGATGGTTGTTGTTGTTGTTGTTGTTTTTGTCGCCTGATTATAATTTATTAATTAGAGGTTTTTTTCCCCCGTGATTTATATTGCGTTTGTTGTTCGTATTAAAATATCTGATTGTTTTTGTTTGTTGAAATTTTTATAAAAACTAAAATTGTAGGTGGGTGATGAGTTGTGAAAGGTTCAAATGCAAAAAAAAATTTTCATGCAGGAAACGGAAACGTATAAAAGGGGAAAAAAAAATTCGTTTAAAGAGACTTACCGTTTGAACAAACGGATGAACCTTCTCCCGGTACGCCACTGTCTGTACCACTTTCGTGACCGTCGCTGTCCCCGGGATCCCGGCAATGTACGGATAGATCCCGAGGACCGTCACCGACGCTGGAAGCAGGACTAGAACAAGGACTACGACCGACGCCCGTCGGCGGATGAGGTGCTCCCTGACCCGAGAGTATGTCGGTTATCATAAACCTGGACCTCTGAGGGTTGGATACAGTCTGGGGATGATGGTGACCACCGACGGTGTCTCTTCTCAATTTCGTGTAATGTTCATTTTCGATCAATTCCCTTTCTCTTAAACCCAATTTATCTAAATGGCCACTTTCCGCTAGGGAAATGTCTCTTAATCTACTAAAAGCGGGATTGTGTAAATCTTGAGGTTCTTTCGACAGTCTGTATCTTTCCGCGAGTATATCTTCTCCTCTTAGCCTCCTTTCCGCTTCCGCTAATTCTCTCAATCTCGCAACTTCGGATATTTCCCTTATTCTGTCCATTTCCGAAGCGACTCTTAACCTCGCATCGATTTCCGGACGTAATCTCGTTTCTATATCGGGTCTCATTTCCCGAAATCTAAAATCATCGCTCATGTCTTTAATCCGACGCTCGGGTTCCATTTCGGAAGCATTCCTCTGTCTATTATCCGCCACGTCTCCCCCCCCGTCTCGTTCTTCCGAACTTCTAAAACGTTTCCTTTCACTTTCCTCCGTGTATCTTTCCGAATCTTCCAATCTCATTTTATCCCCCGGATTACTTTCTTCGCTAAACCTTCTGTGATTTTGATGATCAACAACTTGATGTTCGATGACGTCTCGTCGACTTCCTGACGTCACCGTCATCGTGTCCACTGTCATCACCTGTCTTTCTGTCGGGGATAGAGCACGGGCTCCGTTCAAATGAATCCGTTCCACACTTATTTGAGTTTGAGTTACCGGAACATGAAGTTTACTTTCCGAAGAAAACTGTTCGGGAGAAACCGTCGGACTTATCACTACCATTCAGTTTCCTGTTTTATATCCTTTCCACTCGGTTCTAATATTTACGTATCTATTAAATCACTTTAAACACAAAATTATTTCCGATTCCAATATCCGATAACTTCATCACTTACAATAAATATATCTATCAATGAGAAACCGAGAGAAAGAGATGGAAAGGGAAAACAAACAAACAAACAAAACAAACAAATTATTGAAAACTTTAAAAATTTTTTTTCATAAACTTCCGAATACTCGCGACGCGTATATAATAAAAAAAAATTCGATAGGAAATCCACATACCACACCAACAACTATAAACGAATCTCGAAGAACTGTTAATAGTCGTAGACACCCAGAACAACTACAAGACAAGTTTAAAATTCAGTTAATTCTCCCTTAACCGGCCATCTTTGACAAATTTTTAACCAATGAATGCGATGTAATGATTTTCATCCAATGGGGAATCGAGGTTAAGCGCTTGCACAATAAAAACAAGGGATCCCCACCTGTTTAAAGGCGGCGTGCGCTTGCTCACCTTGCTCCTCCTAAATTTCTTTTCCCGTGAAAATATTTACTTTAAAAAAAAAAATCTCGTTTTTTTTTTTTAAATTTAAACAGATCAACCGGAACAGCTTTTTTTTTTTTTTTTAAAGAACGGATTTTAAAAGTTTTTCCATTCTCATCATCGCCGCAGATGACGCCGCCGCCACCACCACAACCACCACCGCCACCATCCTCATCCAATTGAATGTTTTCTTATATGGTTTCTTTTCCTGTTTTTCTTTTTCTTTTTCCCATTAAAATAATTGTCTTCTTCCACGAACTTTGACAACTCATCAATCTCATAAACTTTATGAATTATTATTATTATTATTATCATGCATTATAGTCTACAAAAAAAAAAAAATTAATTAATAATTAAGAGAAACGAAATTTGTAATTAAATAAATAAAAGGTCATCTATATGGATAAATATAGACTATATGTTTATAGTTTTAAAATTAAAATGTCAGATTTTGTCGCGGATGTTATTAAACAATCGTAAAAAAAGAAAAAAATGGAGCGAAACAAATCGAAGGAGGAAGGGGAGGAGGGTAGGAGGAGTGGAAGGAGGAAGTGAAGGAGGGAACAAATTGACCTCCAAAAAAAAAATTTTTTAATTATAAATGAAAAAAAATTTTTTTTTTTTTTTTTAATTTTACGCCCTGAAATTAAAATATTGAATTGGATAGAATGTTGATGATGACCTTTTTGCAAAAAAAGAAAGAAGTGGTGGAAGAAGAAGTGGAAGAAGAAGAATTTTAAAAAAGAGGAAGAAAAAGACAAAGAGAACCACGATGACGATGACTATGATGGAACGATTAGTTTTCTTTTTTTATATATTTCTAATAATAATAATAATACGTCTGAACATTTGTGATGATGAACATTTTCGTTCGTCGGTTATAACTCCGGTCTGGTGCCACTTTTTTTTTTTTGCATTCTTTCGTTTTAGCTTACGGGATTTTGAAGTAGAAAAAAAAAAAAACGACACACATTTAAAACATTTGATTTAATTTCTTTTTTTTTACCCCCTACTTAATAATCGACGTGGAAGAAGAATAATAGTACGAAATTGTAAAAGTGGATTTTAATATACATCTGCCATCAAGATCGTGTAAATAATTTTTTAACACTCGAGGGTTTTTTTTTTTTTTTTTTCAATTAATAATAATTGATTGATTGATTGATTAAACACCCTCGTTGTTGTTGATTTTAATATTAATTAATTTTTTAAGGGTTGTTATTTATTAACAATTTTTCTTTTTTTTTTTTTTTAAGTTTGTTACCCTGCTTAATAATAATAATAATAATAATGATGATGAAAAAGTAATGAAATTAACATTTTCCGGTTGGTAATTTGGGAATATTCGAGTTAAATAGTTTTTTAGAAAAAAAAAATATATATAAAATGGCGTCGATGACAACGTTTTACTTATTTCGTTCCCTTTCCTCTTCCCTCTTCTTCCCCCCTCTCCTCCCCTTTCTCCTCCTACCCCCCCTCGTTTTTGACGTGTAATTAAAAATTAATTTAATTGTTGTTGAAAATAAAACAATAAAATTGTTTTTTTTTTATGTTATGACTAATGGAGGAAGTTGTTTGTGTTTAGAAAGAGAGAATTTTTTTTTGGGATAATCCGTAAGTAACAACTTCCTCGCCATCTTTTTTTTTTTTACAATTTTTTAAAATTCTCATTATTTTCTGCTACCACTTTATAATTTTCTTCTTCTTTCTTTATTATCATCCGTAATAAATTGATCTCATTTTATCAACCAACAATCGAGAAGAAAGTTTTTATTATTATTATTATTATTATAACGAATTATTTTGTTAAAAATAGAAAAAAAACTTTCTTTTTTTTTGGGGGGGAGGGAGGGGGGCGTACGCAGCATGTAAACGAATAATTTAATTTTGAAACGAACGAAAATCGAATTAATTTTGAAAAAAAAAAAAAATTAGTTGCATTGGTGCCAACTTTTAGCAATTAAACCCCCCGTCGTGTTATTTGGGAAAAGGGGGAGGGAAATTTTTTTTTTTGTTAATTCTTTCCTTTTTATATTGAATCACATCGATCCCTCGGTTATGCTCTGTTGGATAGAGAATTGTGGCCGCAAGGAAATCAGATTCGACACCCTTCCTCCTCCCCCCCACACACCCTCCCTCGCATCCCCTCCCCTTACCCAAAATCCCGACACCTGTTACCGATTCCCTCGCCTCCTCTCCCGAAACGAATGCGAATTAATACTCACTCACGCACGCACAATCCGCGTAAAAAAACTTGAGTGGTTCCAACTAACTTTTATTATTATTATTATTATTATTATTATTATTATTATTACAATTCTAATTTTAATAATAATAATAATAATAATGACGAATTAAAATTGATTTAAAAGCCATTAGGAAAAGAACCCGAGACCGCATTAGTGGCTCTTATACGGTCTTTAACAACTCTTACAAATTTTTTTTTTTTTTTTTCTGATCATTAATGGGGCAATTTGTATTTTACCCGACCGTACGCAAATTATTTTCATCATCATCATCATCATCATCATTATTATTAACAAATAATAATAATAATAATAATAATTGAAAAATTACGTAATAATCGATTTTTTTTTTAGAGAAAAAGTTCAAAACTACGTTTATGATATAAAACAACCTTGTGAAAAGAAAAAGAATAAATGATGATAATAATGATGATGATGATGATGATGATGATAATGATAATAATAAATGAAATTTTCAAGTTGCGAAAAGATTCATCAGACCATTGAATATGTTTTTTAACAGCTATTAGACCATTGTATGCATGTATGTTTGAGGAAGCGAGTTAATGTACCTGTATCGAGTAGTGGTAGTAGTAGTGGCAGTAGTACTCTCTCAAAACGTTTAATTAAATACATATATATATTCATTCGTTTTTTTTTTGTTACGCGCGTCGTATAAAACGATTCTTCTACTTCCACTTCTTTTATTCTTCTTCTTCCACGAAATATTAATGGTGATGCCGTGCAATTACACGGAGCGATGAAGACGCTAAAAAGTTTTTTTTTTTTTTTTATTTAATTATTTTTTTTTTTTTTATTCTTTGGATCGAAGGCATCGAATACTTTGTTTCGGAGTTGAAGAAATCATTCGGGTGTAAAAGGACAAAAAAACGCACGCGTAAAACGCGCGTAAAATATAAGAGAAAGAGAGAGAGAGAGAGCGAGATTGTTATTGTTTTCGATATTTATTTTTTTTTTTATCGATTATATTTTTTAAAAAATGAAATCAATTTTGAAATTTCCGGTTTTTCCTTTATTATTATTATTATTATTATTATTATTATTATTATTATTATCATCGTTATCGTTATCAATTATATTATTATTATTATTATTAGGCAATGAAATAAAGGAAATAAATTTTTTTTTACGTGTGCGTGAGTGAGTGCGTGTGTGTGGAAACAATTTATCGCAGTCGAATAACGAAAATGATTTTTTTTTTTTTTACTTTATTATTATTATTATTATTATTATTATTATTATTATTATTATTATTATTATTATCATTATCATTATTATTATTACGAAAATATTTTATCTGTTCATCTATCTATCTATCTATCTACTTCCACGATTTTTCGATTTGTTGTAATTTTTAATAAAAAAATAAAAAAAAAAAATTTCTTTCGAACGATTTATTAAAATTTGAAATTATGGGTTTTTTAATCAAAAAATTTTTAAATGGTCTGATACGGGAGTGAGAGGGGGGGAAGAGGAGAAAGCAGAAGACGTAGCAGAAGATAGATAGTAATCTAGAATTGTTTGTAATTTTAAACCGCGTAAAAATTTGATATTTAACAATAATAAATAAAATAAAAAAAAAATTTTAACGATTAGTTAAATTGACGTGTTGATAATGACAGAAAAAAAAAAAAAATTTTCCCTGGATAAATAATAATAATAATGATAATAAAAAAGCCAAAAACTCTCTCTCTCTCTCTCATTTTGAATTCGACAACAATTTTATCGACGACGACGGGGGTAGAGAGGGGGGCAAAGGAGGGAAAATTTTGAAATGAAGTGAAAAATCGTATAATCCCTTTTAACAATGGATAGAAAATAACATGAAAGGTTGGACTTTTTTTTTTTATTATTATTTAGGGGTTGTTGGTTGTTTAAGGGGTTGTTTAAGAACTGCGAGGGTTGAAACTTTTACTATTAATCCATTTATAAATGATAATGTTATTTTAAAGCGGTTTTTTTTTCCTTTCTTTTTTTTTCTTTCTTTTTTTCCTCCCCCTTTTTTTTTTTTATTGCATTCGTAGATATCGTGAACAATGTTTGTTTGTTTGTTTGTTTCTTAGTCGTTTGTATTTTTTTGATTGTTTGTCGCAGGTGAAAGTGAATAAAGAGAAAGAGAAAGAGAGAGAGAGGACAAAAGGGTTTGGGGAATAATTAGGTTTTATCCTTTCTTTTCATTACCGTCA